AAATAAGTGTCTGAACCAAGAGTCTAACTAGGCTCCTGACTCCAAAGCCAAAGAGCTTTGCACACCTGACTGTGTGTGTACATTGACGACGTACTTACCGTATCCTAAGGGAGTGAAGTGTGGATGATGGTCGTAAGGCCATCTGGTAAAATGTTGCTTATTTGCTTTCCTGTCGCCACTTGGCTTTTTTAATATTTGGTTTAAGTAGGTTATTCTGAGAAAATAAAATGCTAAGGTACCTTATCTCCAAACGAGATAAAAGACTCCTTTAAAGTTAGTATTTGACGATGCTTAGAGAGAATGGAGTCAAACCGTGAGTGAGTGCTATCTGGGTATTGTGGCCTCTCATATCTTGGTTCTGTTAGCCTTAATTGCAAGATGGTTTGAATCTGCCCCAGAAATGCATACTTTAGGGGTTAGCCAGCCATTTGGGCAGAACTGAATGTACAATATTTGGGGCTTCCACTGTCAGGTTTTGTCCTTTCTGTGATTCCCTCTCACTTTCCAGCTGCTGTGGGTACCTTTATCTTTGTTCTCTATTTCTCCAAGCCAGTAAAAGTTCCAGTTTCTCTCCAAATTTTAGTTACCCCATCACCCTGGGGCCTGTCTTCATGATAAAAGCTATAAGAATGGGAAACACTCAGTGCCATGCCATTCCCTTCTTTGAAGGGTCAAACTTTTACTTTCAGTATCTACCTTCTTTTGATCACTCTTTAGTGACTACAGGTAGGTTTATTTTCATTCACTTGTGTAGAGTTTATAGTTGTTGTTGATGGTGGTGTGTGTGTGTGTGTGTGTGTGTGTGTGTGTGTGTGTGTGTGTGTTTGGGGAAAGGAGAGGGGGGAGGAGGAGCCAGCCGCTTTTAGAAGTGGAACTTTTAAAAATGGAACTTGTTTATGTATCAGATCATTTGCAAACTAACTTTCATGTTAAAAATAGACACAGATGACAAAAATTTCAGCACTGTGGTATAAAAATCATAACTCACTATTGACCCTTTTTACTTCTGCCTACTTTGTATATGTTGTTTTTTCCACTTACATTTCTCCTCAGTTTTAATCATTGTTCAGTAACAACTGAGTACTTATTAGGTACAAGGCATTACGCTGGATGCTGTCTGTTGAAGTCTTATTCATTCAAAATCCAAATCAGGCAGGCCAGTTGGCTCACTTCATTAGAACATGGTGTTATAAACACCATGGTCAAGGGTTCGGATCCCCATATCAGCCAACTGCCAAAAAAACATCCAAATTAAATGCAAACGCCTCCAGGATCACTCCTCTCTCTCATACTGGATCAATGTGCTTTACTTTCTTCTGAATACCTTTGGTCCGTTGTTCCTCCCTTATGATGTTTTATTTCTTAATATACTTGCTTTTCCCCTCTTCCACCCCACCACTAGTCTTGTTCCCTATTAGGTTATAAATTTCACAATGGCAAGGGCAAGTCTCATTCATGTTTGCACCCATCCATCCTGCCTTAAGCATACGTCTTAAAGTCAGGAACTGAAAAGATACATGAAAGTCTTTGCAGTTGCAAAGAAAGGGAAAAAACGAAGGACATTGGCTTCCTGTATCTGTTGTCAGTAGTAGAGTGGGACGTCACGCAATAAAGCATTCTTTGTTTCCATAGAACATCTTAATAGAGACAACTCTTCTCCTCTTC